AAAAGGCGAGGGAATCGTTGGAGCAGGCAGCCAAATCTATGGAAAAGGCCTACAACAAACATAAAAGCAAGGCCATAGAATACCGCGTTGGCGACAAGGTGTGGTTGGACTCTACCAACCTAAATCTTCCACGGCCCACGAAGAAACTTGGGGATCGATGTGTGGGACCTTTCATTATTATAGCCAAGAAGGGTGCCTCCGCCTATGAACTCCAGCTCCCGGCGGCATGGAAAATCCATAACCGGTTTAACGAATCCCTGTTAACCCCATATCAAGCTCCCGAATTCCCCAATCAACCGCGCCCCGAAAGACCACCCCCGGAACTTATTGATGATGAAGAGGAATATGAAATCGAGGAAATCGTAGAACAGCGAGACAAAGTCATTGGGCACGGACGAACCTGCCGCACCATAACTGAATACCTAGTGAAGTGGAAGGGGTACCCCAACGAAGAGAATTCTTGGGTAAAAAGGGCCGACATGGCTAATGCGGAGGAACTGGTAACCCAGTACGAAGCCCATCTCCAAAGGATTCGATGGGAAGTAGATAACCGCGGAAAGACAGTTGGGATCGATAGCAAAGTACCCAAAAACAACATCGCTGCATACCACGAACCAGATACTCCCTGTCACACCGATGTCGAAACTGTCTACTCCTCCCTCTGCTCAGCCCCGGCGCACTCCGAGGAAATTAATGTGGTAGGAGAAGCCGATGCGTCGGATGCAGGAAGAAGGAACGGACCAATATCTGTGACCCCCTCGTTTCAACGCCTAGTGGTTGAAATCGCCCAATCCATGGACGAAGCCCTACAAAGGGACAATGCGAGGTACATCCGGGAACATCCCAGCGAAGGACACGAACCTCGAAAACCCCAGGTCCGTCGCCAAATAGACCCCAGGCTCGATGACCCACGCGTACGCGATGAATACCTAAAAAGACGCAAAATAGAAATCGAAGCATCACGTCACGAAGGGAGACCATACAAGAATCCGCAGATTCTGCTCGATCCTCCAGATGACGATGAATCCGACGTAAACCACCTGCAGAAAGTGGATGAAAACTGGGAGGATGATGAACAGAATTCTGACGTCTGGTCCTACAAATCGGCTCAGGAAGAGGAGGAGAGGTCTAATGACTCATTCGGGACAAAAGAGTCTTAAGCGGGGGGTAATGTTATGGTTTATCCTTTTTCTTTTCTTTTCTTTTCTTTTCTTACACATCTCGCTTATGCTACATGCTTCTCTCGTACGATCGCAATGGACTCATTCTCACAGTACTATTAATAGCTTATCCCCGTGTATTTAAGTAGAGCCTCAGCTGGTCTAAAACCCAGCTTCGGCTAAGGTTTATTCTACCCAACTCAAAGCTCCCTGCTCCGCGACTATCTAAGTCCCCAATCGACTTCTATTATCTCCTTTGACCTCTAAGAGTATCGTCCACCGAAGTGCGAGTGGCGATCCTTAGTTGATCTGAGTCGATTATAGTTGGTTGTTGACATGGGTGTTGGACCTCATCTCTGGCAAAGGTAGTGTGTCAGCATGCCGGAGTGACCCTGTAGTACCCGTTGGTGTTCAGTTACCAGCGATCAATGAAAACGACGTACCTCTTGAGTTTGAGGGGGAAGGAGAGGCAGATTGGTTGATGTTACTTGAGGATGCAGAATTCCTTGAGGAGTATGCCATGGCCATTTCAACGGCTGATGCTGAGGCATTAGAGCCATGCAGTCTAGCAGAAGCGAAGCGTCAACCTGATTGGCCTTTGTGGGAAGGTGCAATTCAGGAAGAGCTTGCTATGTTGAAGGCTGCAGGGACTTGGGAGATTGTCGACAAGCCAGTCGGAGCGAATGTCATGGGCTTGAAGTGGGTCTTTCGAATCAAGAAGGATGCTGAGGGAGGCATAGTCAAGTTTAAAGCTCGTTTAGTAGCACAAGGGTTCTCACAGGTACCTGGCGTCGACTATTTCGACACTTATGCCCCTGTTGCAAGGCTTGCATCCATCCGTTCTATCCTTGCCATGGCTGCAGCACTCAACTTAGAGCACCATCAGGTTGATATCAAGGGCGCATACTTAAACGGAAAGCTCACCAACAAAGAAATCATCTATATGCACCAACCTCCTGGATATCCTGAGCCTGGCTCTCTCCCTGGTCAGGTCTGTCATCTTGTAAAGACCCTGTATGGATTGAAGCAGAGTGGTCGTCGCTGGTACCAACGCCTCGTTGAGATTTTGGTGGAGAAGCTGGGCTTCAAGCAGTGTGACGTTGATCAAGCCGTGTTTTACAAGCATGAGGGCCGAAATCTGACTGTTATTGCTGTCCACATTGATGATTGCACTATTGCCGCATCGTCATTATGTCTGGTGCACAATGTGAAGGAAGGAATGGCAAAATACGTGGAAGTCACGGATTTGGGGGAGCTGCACTGGATTCTGGGCATTGAGATCACACGTGACCATGAGTCATGCTCCATTTCTCTCTCGCAATGCTCCTACATTGATGCCATCATCCGTCGCTATGGCTTCGAGGACCTCAAGCCAGTCTCCACACCAATGGATACCAATGTCCGCTTATCGTCTTTTCCTGCACCAGCCTCTACCCGGGAGATTGCGGCCATGAGAGACATCCCTTACAGGGAGTCTGTTGGATCCTTAATCTGGGCTATGCTCAGGACTCGCCCTGACATTGCGTTTGCTACAACAACTGTCTCGAAATTTTCATCGGCACCGGCAGAAGCTCACTGGAGAGCTGTGAAGCATATCTTCAAGTATTTGAAAGGCACGAGGGACTATCGGTTGACGTTTGGGGGAAATGGAAAGGTTCTGCAGGGATATGTGGATGCAGATGGAAGCATGGCCGAGGATAGGCATGCTATTACTGGGTATGCTTTTCTGCTGAACGGTGGAGCCTTTTCTTGGTCGTCTAAAAAGCAGGAGATCATCTCGCTTTCAACCACGGAATCTGAATATGTGGCCGCGACGCATGGATCAAAGGAGGTGCTCTGGCTTCGAAGCCTGCTCTCTCAGGTCTTTTCCCTGATTACTGAGGCGACGACTTTGTTCTCTGACAACCAGTTGGCCATTGCGCTCTCAAAGGACCACCAGTACCATGCTCGAACAAAACACATCGACATTCGTTTCCATTTCATTCGCTGGGTCATCAGTGAAGGCTCCCTTCGCCTCGTTTATTGTCCTACCGAGGATATGGTTGCCGATGCCCTTACCAAGCCTTTGCCTTCAGCCAAGGTGAAGCACTTTGCTGCAGAACTCGGACTCTGCTCCGCTTGAGGGGGAGTGTTGGATTTGCAAGCAGGAGCTCCGTCGTATCCCGTTGGCTGAGCTATATACCCCTTTATGTCAGGATGGACTTGGTTACCGTTATATACTAACTACGGACTGTCGGACACCCTCACCGCATTTCTGCTTATTGCTACGCTGTGTGAGGGTGAGTATCTGTTCATATTACTTCGTTTACCTTACTGATTGGTACCTATAGTCTACAATATAGCTAACAGTGTATACTATTAGGTACAGTGAATTACCACCGTGTTTCTGCTTATTGCTACGCTGTGTGAGGTCTACAATATAGCTAACAGTGTATACTATTAGGTCCTACGAACAAACGCATGTCACTTTCTTAGACAAGTGTGTCTTCAAACTGGATGCCATGGTTCGTCCAGGTCGGCAGTCTTCAAGAGAGCACGGATATCACAGTAGCATGAGGGCGAAAAGGAAAGAAGCACACTTTGTTTGCTCCTCTGCATGCCAAACAATCCCAGCATGTAGCGGGCCTGTGTACATGCGGTGTCTGGGGTACTGTAAACAGTTCCAGGCTTTCTCATAACCTTGATGGCCGTCCCTGCTTCACTAGTCCATCCCACATCCTCATTACTCTTTGCTGGAAAATCTTTCAACATGGGTCTGGCACAAGTATTCATCACCAAATCCATTGCCCAGCTACTTATGAGAAGATGGAGGATCATGATCCATATGATCAAGCTGGCAATTCATGTTGAGGATGGAGCAGTACAAAGCTTTGAGGGATGAGTCATTTTAATTCTCCATTCTAATACTGCAGGAAGGTTTCTTATTCCGATTTGATGAATGAAGAGCCCGGCCAAGGTACATCTCGACTTTATTCCATGTTCAGTGAAATACTGGTGGTATATATATCTCTTCATTGTCTGCTCCTCCAGCTAACATTTTATTTCCAGCAGCTCTTTCTTCCATTTTGTGTGACAATGGACCTTGGCAGTGTAGTCAGGCATTAGTTCATCAAACACCTTGTATCCGTACTGGAACCAGTGTTGGCCCAGACGAAGGCGTACACCCAGGCGTTTATTGGTCCATATAGCCCTCTCCAAGAATGAAATATATACTTATCCTCACTTTAGATTTTGAATTCTTCCAAGTCGTCTTTCAGTGATGTAATTTCAACAATCAATTTCCATGTCCCATTTTGTCTGATATACAGATAGCTGTCAAGATAACCCTCCCAACTGAGGCCTACTTCGTGTCCTGCATCATGGGGGCACCTGGAGATAATAGTAGAATGGGTTACACCAAAACTCATGAGTACCAATCCTTCTCCCTTCTCTTGCACCAGAATCCATTGACTAAATCTTCATGTAGGTAGATCAAACGGTATGCCAGTCCACCATCACTAAAAGGTAGTTCCCTTTCAGTGAGAATCTGTGCAATGGATATTTGTCTTTGCCACCAGATAATGGCAGGCATCTATGCTTCTCCCGTTGATGTCCTCCTTCCATTTCCTACCATCTGGATGCTTTTTGTGAACACCATCTTATTTGACATTGTAATACTGAGTTCTTCAAGTGCTCTCCCAATTTCAGCATGAAGTCAACACCTCCCTGCTCTCTCCTCCTCTGATATGACCTTGTACACTGCTGCCATCGTTGACAGCAGCTTCGGGTTTGCCAGAACGTGGCATACTCATTGATATTGTGACCAAAGTCACACCAGCAGGTTGATCACAGCTGTCTAGCATGGCAAGCCTGGTAAGCCTTTTTCTCACTGGCATTATCTTGTCTTTTGACTAACATTGAATTTCAAACAGATTTGGTTCACACTGTTCAGAACGTTCATGGGTAAGCAACATGGGGCAGTGTGCAACTGGTAATAACATTTTTTATCAGGCTCTTTTACTACTTCAAGGCCAAGGGCATGGCGGGTAACGGTTAGTGTAAAGGAAACAGTGCATTCGATAGTATTCTTTTCCTTCTCAACATGCTAACTAGTCTACCACAGTAATTACTCAAGCCTTGTTTGGCAGGGAAACATCTGATACCCTGTCCTCGACTTTGGAGACTACGAAAATGGCATGTCTGGAGGTGCATAAGGGGGCAGGAGAATGGTCAGTGAGAGTGTGGTTGCACTCACTAGCTTTGATGTTGATGAACCCCCAGGATAATGTGGGCATCATCAACAGTGATGAGGGGAGGAGTGCGTGACATGTCATGTGTGCAGATGCAAAATAGCGTCTGATCAGTGTGTGATCCATTATCCCAGTTGCTGCATTGTTGAGGGAATAGAAAACTCTATTGTTCAGAGTTGAATATGAGATCTTGTGTGTGCTGCATTGTATTCCCGCCTTTGTGTTCTGATCATCTCTTCCATCAGACTGCAAAGACAACTGCCCTCACTGAATGCAATTCACACTGAATTTTCCTGAAATGTCTATTATACATAATTTCTTTGTCCTTGTCTCACCCATATTTGTTGTTGCAAAGTTGGATATTCCTATTGAACTTTTTTAATGCTGAACAATGAAGGTTGGTGGTGTATCAGTTTTTATTCCATGTGGTGGCTCAATTGATACAGCCTTTCCTCTCGGTACCTTTGCCGTTTCACACATCGTCTACCTTCTCGCTCATCCACACAAACCATCAATTCGTTCAACGTTGGCAATCGCTATGACAAAGAAAGGCAAGAGGATGGCTTTGCCAATGCCAGCTGGTGAGTACTGGACATCTACTGCTGTTAGCATGTACTAATGCCTTGCAGCTCATCGTGTTAAACTGCAAGCTTCTGGCCTCAAAGCAGCTATGAAGAGTTCACAGGCTGACAGCGAAGCAACCTCTAAAGTATGGACCAAACAGAGGAGAGGTATGTTTTCGATTCCATAGATCAATTTAGCTGTCTGAAATGTTCAAACAGTTGATCATGAGGCAGAAATTCCCTGGACAGACAGCCAAGCCACCTATATTGAAGAGACCATCAAACCCGAGGTCATCTGGTGACTTCAGCATGAACCTCAGATGTTGAAAGCCTATAGAGACACCATGGTGGATAGCCTATTCAAAACTCTTGATGAGAATGGCGACCTTGTTCATGCTGGAATTGATGTATTTCAAGATGAAAACTATGAAGCTACTGGCGCTTACAGGGAGCTTAGGATTTTAGTACATACTTTGCATTCTACTGACTTGTGCAAACTGACAACTCCTCTACAGCAGATGAAGAAGAAGATCGACAACCTCACCACCTACCTTAGAGCTCGTGTTGCATCCAGCATTGCCGTTTCTGCCACCGTCTTGAAGTTGAAGCCAAACCTTGACAAGATTATTCGGTCATTTATGGACTTCACCAAACCAACCACTGCGAAGCAGATTTTCAAGGGTGAACATAAAGCAGAAATTTCACGTCGAGTGGTGGCACTCGTAGCTGCAGCAAAGAAAGAGTTCCCAGAAGATGGTTCTCATGATGAGGAGGGAGATGAGGAGGGCATTGGCAATGGTGTTAAAGGTGTGAAAGTGCAGGCCGAAGATTTACCTAGTGATGATGTGGATGAGGCTCACGATGAAGCAGAGTATGATCCTAGCACCACACACTCTGAATCCGATGATGACTCCGATGATGAGAACTCTGCCTACACATTCTGCACTGCTGACATCACAAGAGTTTGTGATGGCAATTTCAACCTTGGCACCGCCTACCAGGTTGTGCTAAGTTGCGTGTGGAAAGAATTGGATGAAGAAGAAAGAGCCAGAATTATTGCTAAGGCCAAATCCCAGATGGTCCATCATGACAAGTACGTGCTTCTCAGTTATGTAGTGCGATTCTGATGGAACTTTTTAGGAACTGCAAGGACTTTCCTTATCTTCTCAGGGACATGATGGACAGGTTGGCAGCGATTGATGGACAGGTTGGAGGCACTGAGATAGTAGTCCTCTATGCACTGAGAAATCCTGGAAATGCAGCACCCTTTCAGGCTGGACAGTGAGTTTATTCCGGTTTTCTACTCGGCACAGGTGTGCTTACATGGTATTTCCAGCAGTCTTTATGCACATGCGAACCCATCTTCTATGCGTCATTTCCATGATGCAGACTTCAAGAATGAATCAATCAAGTCATTCAATGATTTGGCAGACCTCTGGTCTCAATGGGGAGGGTCAATGTTAATAAACAGTACGTGTACTTTTCTTATGACTCATGAGTCACTCTTGATCTCAGATCAAAGGCTAATATTCTATCGTCAGACCTGCAAGACAACTCGGTACCGAGAAACAATGATGGACTTTGACTATTCACTGTTGATTCGGACAACTGTACACCCAATGATTTGATTATGCAGCTGCACAATTATCTCAAGGGTTGCTTTTGTAAGTACATTGATATATTCACTTTGTAGTCAGGCTTATCATGGTATAGGTGATGTATGGCTGGAAGAACTGTTCTATTGGGAAAGTGTGGTTGAATCGCCTGACAAATACTATGATACCGAAAAGTTTGTATTTCCCAATGGGGGATTTCACAGTCCTTTTGGCTTGAAGACAGGCCAGCTCTATGAGTTAGCAGGATATTTGAAGGGCTTACTAGAGCCATTTACATTTTGGAGGAAGCCTGAGATCTCTTCCGGGTCTGAGGATCTGCAAGTTTCCTCACATCTGAACTCGCCGCCGCCACCCTCACGTCTGACAATGCCAGATCTGCCTCTGGTGAATTCACATCCAATGACATCTATACCACCTCCTTCACATTCAGCAACACCCATAGAACCTTCTTTGCCTTCACGTCCAACAACACCAGATCTGCCTCTGGTGAATTCGCATCCAGCGACACCTGTACCACCTCCTTCATGTCCAGCGATGCCTGTAAAACCTGTTTTGCCCTCACGTCTGAGAACGCCAGATCCTCCTCCAGAAGGTCAACATCCAACAATGCCTCTGAGAAATGCCAAGAAGGGTGGCGCAAAGGGTAAAGGGAGGAAGGCAGTTCTGAAGTCACAGCTTCTGGCAGTGGAGGGGGGTGGTATGCAGACATGGAAAAGAAAGGTAACTGCACAAGCAGAGGATGCTCCACTTGCAAAAAGGACTCGGTGAGTTGTGTACTGCATTGAAGGGTTATACAAATCTAATAAATGAGTAGATCATGCAGCAAAGCCCTGGAATCCACTCTAAGGTGATGTAATATCCTGTTTAACATGTGGTCGAGTGCTGATGGTGAACTACAGAGCTCAAAAACCATCATCATCAAAGGCACCAATGTCAAAGAAAGTGCCAGCGTTAAGGTGGAAATAACCTGGGGGGGGGATGATTAAGGATGGTGCTTAAGTATGAGGATTAAGCATGGGAATTAAGTATCTTTTGTAAACGTTGTTTCATTTGCTCTATGATTAAAGGGTTGTATTAAGCATAGTGATTAATCTGACATGATTAATCTAACTGACTTAAACAGGCAGCTTAAGTGTCCGCTTAACCAAGATAGAGAAATTAAGTAGTCTTTTGGATTAGGACCCCATTCTATTAAGAAGATTATATACGGCGATGGAAAACTTGAGCCTAAATCAAAGAAATTTACCTTTATTGGGTATCTTGATGGACCAAAGGCTGTGAAATATTATGACCTGAGACTGCAACAAATCTGAGTCTCAAGAAATTTCATATTTGCAGAGCCATCAAAGGCTGTGGACATTGAGAAAACTGACAATATGAGGCTTGAGAGGGAGACAGGGAATAGCGATCCTCAATTACCTGCTGAAAAAGAGAAGTCAGCCAATAAAAAGAAGGAAGAGACACAGAAAATGGCACCAACAGTGTCAACTTCCTCGAGGACTCTCAGAATCACATCTGCACCCTCTCAATCACCTGAAACTGATGGACAGTCATGGGGAATAAAGAGATATCCTCACAGATTTGTATCCATACTGTATACCATATGAGCATGGCTGCTAGACTGGTGTACTAAACAATTTGAGATGCTACATGAGAATCCTTATCAGAAAAATGCCATTTTCAGTCAGTTTAGGAGGCATGCTATGATATCATTCTTTCTTCAAGGCAAATGTTTGAGTCATCAAGGGCTGCAATAGATGGTAAGATGAATGAAAATGATTTTTAGATGCTTTAATTCATGTCAGAAAGAAAAAACAGGATTCAAAAGTGCCATCTCCCATCTGGTTGCACTGCCACATACAAGCAACATATATACAACTATTGTAATGTGCATGCTGATAAAACTCCAACAAACCACATTTCAGAATCCTACAGATTCCAATTCCCAGTTTCTATTTCATATTCTATTTTATATTTCATCTCTCCATTGTAATTTATCAATAGTCCAACATTAGTAGTGAATATGTCATCAGACTCCATTGGCTACTGACTGGTAGAATACAATCTCTGACAACCCTAGAATGTAGAACACTCTGAGTCGGAACTAGATCGGACTCCTAACTAGTATATAAACCTTAGAATTACACTGTAGATACTCAGTTCGAATATCAACTTGGTTCAGCCCAATCTCTCTCTCTGACTCTCAGTTAAACTCTTGTTCTCCAGTCCACAGAACTCTGATCTGTTGGACTTATCTCTTACCTCATCTCTGTCACTCTATGGACCTCTGTCTGTGTTCATCTTAAGGCTTCAGCTCTGGGGTGATATTGCTAATAGCTTTGCCTATGCCTGATATATTCTGCAGCTTTCTGCTACATACAACCTCTGCCACATTTCTATTGGCATGATCCTAACAGTATATTCGAACTCAAACCCTTGAGTCAAAATTTTCTTCCAAAATCATGTCTTCTACTTTCACCTTTCCTCCAGAAACCAACTGCAACTCTACAGCCAACAACTGAACCTACACCATAGAAGATATCCCTGCTTCTGCCTCGAAAGAGGGTTGCCTTTCCTTTGGATCAGATTCTGCTCCCTCCCAATGCTCCTGTAGGGAAACCTATCTGCACAGTGGTTTTACTATTCATCAATCTGATGCTAACAGATTGCCTAACCCCTTCTTAGCCCAACAATCAGAATCCAATGGCTGGGGCAAGTACTAAAATGATCCCCTGTGGAATCTGCCTACATCCTTGTTCAACAACATCTCAGACCAGAATGAGGAAAACAACCAAGAATGGCTCGTGTTCACCTGGAAATTTTAGGCCTGACAGTCTGATGTCAGCCTTACTGCTTGGCATCTTTTGCCAGTGGTATATGATTGTACTTTTGAATACTATTATTGTTGTGAATGTGGGCTTTGGCAGTTATACACTCATTGTGGATGTATCACAATTTATCACAATTTCTTGACTTCAGTGAGTTAGATGACATTGCCAGTCAATATCCATTTTTATGGCTTAATGTACAGCTGGCCAGTGTCTATAAAAATCTGCTTTCTCATCCATCTCTATCATGGCACCCCCCCATGACCAAAAAAAAACAGTCCATGGCCTTCACTTCCAAAACCTCTAGTGCCAAACACCAACAATCTTCTGCTCAGCTCTTGTCTCAGCCACTGAAGGGTACCAAGCACAAGAAGAAGAGGTCCATGAAGTGCAAGCACAATGAATTGGACAGTGAAAGCAATGTGGTTGCAGCAGGCAGCAACAGAAACAAGCACAGAACCAAGAAACAAAGGTCGGAGTTAGAGGAAGATGCACTGCAGGACGAAGATGAGAATGTGGTCCTCCTAAGTAAGTGGTTTGTTTGTTTTCATGCTCGAGGCTGACAGTGCACATAGACAAGGCTATGAAGAACTGGACCTTGTCAGTCTATGATCACTTTCACCTGCCTCCTGAAATCAAGAGGGATGCAGAGGAGGATGTGAAGTATGTCTTCACATGCAAGAGGTGTGTCCAGCCTGTCTTCCTCTTCAAATTTCTGTCACAGTTGACATCCAGGCATCACCACATCCATTTGATAACCTTTATCAATGGTTTTTCTCACTATAGTTGAAGTTGCCACATATCTGACTGCATGCCAGGCACAGAAGTATGCACACCCACAGTTGCAAGGACAATAGCACCAGTAATCTTAAAGGGCATGCTGAAAAGTGTGACTTCCAAGCCCAGCAAGACAGAAGTGGTCCTTGGCAGCAGAAGATTGGCGAGATTGCATCAAAGTATATGGGTGGTGAGTTCCGCTACTTGATGGTGGAGTGGTTGATGCAGTGCCACTGGCCCAACACCATTATTGAGGATGTGCTATTACAGAAGATTTTTCAGTTGCTCAACCCTGTGGTGAACATCCACTCAGATATCATGGCAGGCCACAATGTCAAGGAGATATATGAAGTCTCCAAGGAGCAGCTGAAACGGATGCTCAAGGTATGTTCACATCTGTCTCAAAATACATGTTTCATTGAATGTCATACAGGAGCATGATGATCACTTCCACATTGCATTTGATGCATGGTCAGTGCTGAACCACAACAAGTTTTTGGGTATTGTGCTCGTCTGATGCCATGATGGGTACATTGAGGTCATCACCCTGGATCTGATCGAGTAATTACATCTGCTTAGTCTCCTTGCCTCTGCTGATCCTTGCAAAGGCTGACAGATGCACACATGGGGAAGTACCTCACCAAGAAAATCTTTGACATTCTTAGAGAGTATGATCTGCTGGAAGACATACTTGGGCAAGCCGGCAACAATGCCTCTAACAACAATACTACCTTGGATCACCTGGAGCACATGTTCAAGGAGCTGAGGAAGGCCATCCTGACTGGCCATCATACCCAGATACAATGTTTTGCTCACATTCTGAACTTGATTGTGAAGGTATGTGTGTTCTTCTTGTTTGCTGCTGTGCAATGTTCAATGCTTGTCATGTGGTAGGCCATCCTGTCCCAGTTCAAGGCAAAGCATCAGGTAAAGAAGGCAACCGATGATATGCCATCTACATGTTCACACCTAGATTTTGTGATTTTATAACAATACTATTGCAGATCTATCCTATACTAGTCATATATCAAAGGCTATAGTTGAGACTTTGGACTGATAGTCAAGTTAGCATGCTACTAGTTGAGTCAGGACTTAGGAATGATACCACTAGTGGGTCAGCCCTACCAGCCGACCAGACTAGTGCCTCTAAAGCTAGTATGACTTAGTAAAATATGGTCACTAGTAGAGAGTACAGCTGCTAGCGCCCAAACAAGAAGTAAGAACCCACAACAGATCTCAACTATTCAGTCACTAGTGGACCGATCTGGGCATGAACACCTAAGTTAGGATGACTAGTCACATGAGCACTTCAGAAAGGACTTAGAAATGAACAAGTAAAGGCCTAACCCTTAGCCCAGATCCAGATAGTGTGATACAGATCCCATACGATTGGTACTAGTATAGCTGGGCTGCACCCTGATCACAATCGAGCAGTTGCTACAGGCATGGTTACCTGACTATTTGTATAGCCATATCACTAGTGAAGCACTGCTGGGCAAAGGGTATGGAAAAGATCAATAGCGGAGGCTCTAGGTCCACTATCCGACAGAAAAAACAGGCTAGGCCGACTATTGCATGATTGCTCACCATTATTTGTGACTAGCCAAGACATCCTTACCAATATTACCCCTAAGGAATCTATTTATATTTATTCTGTACCTGTCTCTATAGTATATAAGTAGTAGTAGAAGGGGTGGCCTCGCAAGCTAGACAAGCCAGCCCTGCGATTGTGACCTACTAGTCAGTATCCTAGTGCCCCAATTTAAGGCTTTTGTGCTTAACCTCGATGAAGTGTCTACTAGTTGCTTAGTCACCTATAGTATTGAACAAATTAAAGTGTCTTAAAGTTGCTATTCTGCTTTGGAGTGACTCAGAGCATTTCAAAGTTAGTTAAAGTATTTGTTCTTAAGCTAAGAGTGCCACTAGTCAAGCCTAGGGTACTACTAGTCAAGTGTAGACCACTTGTGAGACCCAGTATTTGGCCCAGAGTGCCACTAGTTTCAAAGTATCAGAGTTAGACTGAGTGCAGTTGCTCAACCCAAGTCACTATTCATCCAATCATGTCTTAAACCCTGCTAGTGCAAGTATTACATCTTGTGTAGCTCACTAGTACCAAATATATGTCTTTAAACAATCTTTTCCTGATTTATTGAAGTCTGCAGAGTGCTTCTATTGTACTCAAAACACCCGAACTCAATATTATTGGTGATTTGTGTAGAGTAGTAGAGGGTTTTGGTGTTGTGGTATTCATATCCATCCACTAGCCTTTTGTCACTTGCTGTTACCGAGCACATCACCAATGCTGATGACCAAGCTGGAGGAGAGGATTCTGATGTGGATGAGGTTGAGGATGATGAGGATGATGCATTGGATGCTGATAAAACTGCCACTTTGGAGGACCTTTGCAAGGACCTGGAGGATGAGAAGAACTGCATGATTGACAAGGAATCTGACAATTGCCCAGAGGTCATCAATCTGACAGTGGATGAGGTCAATCTGGGAGTGTCAGCACTGACCAAAGTAGGTTTCTCTCATGAAATGCATGGCCAATCAAGTTTATCTTACAATTAGTTAGTTATTAAAGCTCAGCAAACAAATTTTCCATAAGAATCTGCTGCAAGTATGTCTTGAAAGCCTCTGCAAGAAGCAAGGCATTTCTGTCCTCAAGATGATTTGCCACATCATCACACACTGGAACACAACTTTCAATGTTATCGATAGAGGGGTTGCACTATGCCCAGCCCTCAATGCGCTATGCATGGAGCATGAGCATGAGCATAACAAGGGCAAACCACCATTGAAGCAATTAAAACACTTTCTGCTGTCCGATGAGGAATGGGAGGTGCTCATGCAGCTGCAGCTAATTTTGGAGGTATGTCTGAGTAATGATTATTTGTTTTACATTTGTTTGACTGGGGCAGCTAGATATTTCTCAAGGCAACAGAGCATATCTCACGTTCAGCAGTTCCACTGTTGCATGAGGTCATACTGACCATGGACAGCATCACTAAGAAGCTCAAAAAATACCTCAAGGATGCCACTCTTTACCCGGCTGTGTGCGCAGATGTTGCCCATGGTCTGGCTATCACTGACAAGTATTACTCAAAGACTGATGAATCCATCATGTGAAAGCAATGAGTGAGTGTGTGAGCTATTGAGCATTATCTATCTGACAGTGGTATAGTTATGCATCCGAGATACAAACTTGGCTACTTTAGACAGCAGGGCTGGCTGTGTGAGTGGATTACAACAGCAGAAGAGTCCACTCGGAAGACTTGGACAATGTACTACTTGCCAACAGTCTCTGAGCTGCCTGATACGCAAACTGTGGTAGGTGTTCAACATCTTGTGGCTAACGAGATCTAAATTTGAGCATCTAACACAGAATAAAAATGAGGATCTGTTTGCCAATGTCAACAACTATAGTTGTAGCACCAAAGGAGATGTTTTGAAGTGTATATCACTGATCCGCTGATGAGCCTAAACTTTCATCGCAACGGCAAAAACCAAAACTCTAGAGGAGTTCATGGCAAATGGCATGTAGCGGCAATAAAGGCTTTGTTGTTGTGCAAGTGTTTCGGTGCACCTCCATGCGATGAATTCCTCAAGAACACAAGTATACACTGCGACTTTTCAGTCAGTGGAGTAGTACCCTTAACGAATGAGTACTAGAAAGCATTGGCTGTAAGCTGGGAAGGGTCTCAATGTACGAGAAGGAATGGAATCTGATATAACTGGGAATACTGGCAAACCATGAATGAAGCAATGGCAATTAACTAGTAAAAGCCATGGCAGAATTGGCAGAATTAATGGAAATGCCATCAAAGAGAAATACTGTTGGCAAGATAACAAATACCGTGACAGCAAGAGACGAAGACTGTAGTCGAGAAACTGGCGGTAAAGCGAAGAGAGACTGGCTGGTGGAAATATGATGAGAGACTAGCAGCAGCAAATGATGACTGAGACTGGGTGAGGATGAAACTGAAACTATACTGAGGTTAACGATGACAAAACGAAACTTATACTGATCCTGAGTCTACACAGAGACTATCCTATTCTGAAACTGATGGCAAGATAACAAATACCGTGACTGACAATCCTAATCTGTGTCCACACAGGGATGTAACTGTACTGAGCTGAACTGGGGTGAAACAATGGCGACGTAGAAAGTGAAGGCTGGTAAAATGATGCTGGCTGGTGAAAGTGAAACAATGCTGGCAGAATAAAAGATAAAAGCGAGTTGTGGACACGAAATTCCGTGTATTGGCACAATATGATCATACACCAATACCGTTAGAAGAAAAGCCATGACAGAGAGTATAACTCGGAGTGACTATGCTGTTATTGTCTGTCTCCTAGTGAGTACAAGCGGTGATGGTGGTTGATAACATGTGCGATAACTAGTGTCCAGTAACTTCTGTCTAGCTACTACTACTACACTAGCTTTTATACTACAAGTCTGGAATAAAATTAATATACTTGAAACGAGTTCTTAGTAAGTCCTTAGTACATAGATTGGTAAGAAATGATACAAAACACATGCTCCCAGAGTTCTAAAGTAACAGCACCCACACGATTTTACTGCGTATAGACTTAGTGATCAGAAAGAATTCCACCGACATGCAGACTCTTGGGCTGCTGTGTTGCTGCAGCAAAGTACACTGAAGGTAGTACACTGAAGTAGATGTGTGCGGCATTTGTCTTAGCATTGTAACAGCCTTAGTAAAGCTGGTGGAAAGGTCACGGTATTAAGTCCTTTGCTGTGGAATAGGTATTTTGGCTGTGGCATTCTATTAAGTGATGCTTGATGCTGATGTCAGTGATGGCTGTGCTGAGCGATCAATGATGGTCCTAATTCCATGAGATCTGCAATCAAGTGCCTGGCGGCAATAATGAAGTGGCACATATTGATGTGGAATACAAGTTGGGATGGATAGTTTGGCGGTAAAAGTGGGTATTGCCGCAACTGCAATTGTTGACTTAGTGAAAGTCCGCTAAGTGGACAAGGCATTTATTATAATGCTAAAATCCATGAATTCTGAGCATACAGAGCCTTGAGGCTCATCACCACCAGCCAACTGTGGTGATCCAATTATACATTGGAGTGCAAAGTTGGACAAATGTGATGCAAAGTTAAAGAAGGTCATCACACCAATGGGCACCCTTGCAAGAATGGCACTCGATTTTTTATCAGCACCTGGTATGTCCTTTCATGTCAAACAATGATGATACTGATTATTGATATATATGATTATAGCCACATTGACAGATGTGGAACAAGTCTTCTCTTATAGTGGGCTTGTTGTTAATAAACACCACCATAATCTATCTCTGGAGTCAACACGTGCAAATGTGATACTGAATTCTTGGGGCAAGGTTGAGGGTCTGATACCAAAAAAGATTCTTGTTAAGAAGTTCAACAAGAAAGTGTTGTGTCCAAATAATGGTGGGGGAGTAAAGAAGTCTGTTCACATTGTAGAGGTCTTGGATAGCACTGGTGATGAGGACACTGATGAGGAGGAATCTGGAAGTAGTGAAGACAGTGATGAAGAGTAAACATAATATATTGGTTGTATTAGGTATGGGTAATTGACAGGTATTCACACAGGTATTCGTAGGTGCACACATGTACCTGGATGAGCACAGGTACCTGTCACAAATACAGGTACCCGTGGTGCAGGTCAGGTCATCCATGCCACAGATGCTGGCATGGATGATGAGTATGGCTTTTGAGCTGTGGGTACCTGCAGTCATGGATATGGATGTACCTGAGTACACAATCATGAAGGTCTCTAAGCTAGAGTGAGATCTGGCTCATGCACAAGGAGAGATCTCAAAGGCACAAGCAGAGATACATAGTCTTTGAGATAAACTCCAGGCTTTCCAGTTGAAATGCAAAGAGCTATGGAGTAAGCTGGTGGATTGCTTAGGAGAGAAATGGAAGTATAACAAATGTTGCAAATGTGCAGCAGGTATGCTTGCCCATGCAGTCAAGCATTCATGTCAAAAATCATTAAAATATTCTGCAAAAATCAGCATCACTAAAAGGGGTATTTATACAGCACAGGCACATCAAATAGCCCAGTTCCTAGTCAGTACTGGATGCTCAGAGAAGACAGTCAGAAGAGTCATTCAATCTGTGAGCACAATGATGGGAACGATGATTAAATGGAGAATGAGTCAATGCACAGTTTAATGGTGCATTACTGAAGGTGGACTTGCAGCACAAATGCAGGCTGGCCATGAAATGGCAAAAGCAAAATGTACATCAGTGAGTTATCTGATAGTTATGAATTGATCTAAATGGCCTACAGATTTAATGTTCAGCAGTGATGGAACAACTCACTGACATACTAACTATGAACTCTTGGTGTTGATTCATCTATTAGTCATTCCAGTGAAACACAGCTCACTAGTCTTCAAAACTGACTCGATGAATGTGCTCAAATCTTTAATGCTAGTCTATTAGCTCAGCATGAGGCTATGTTTTTTTCTTGAGATGACTTCATCGTAAAACTGCATGGTACCAACAGTGATTATGCAGCAGACCAGAAGAAGAATAATACCCTACTTCATGCCTGAAAGAAAAGATGAACAGAATCAGTGCTTAGGCGAAAAACAGATGTCGGAGCTAGAGTTTCCTGACCTGATCAAGCTTCTCATGGCTATGAAGGAAGCAAGAATTGATGAGCTTGGCAGGGTGGAAATTTGGGAAAACCTCTCACCAGAAGAAAGGCTATGATATGACAAGAAAACAATGCTATCATTGACTCGAGAACTCGGTGGTCAGGAGTATAACAAAATCCCTGATCTCAAGAAATGAAAGTTTGACTTATTCTTGTAGGGCAGGTGCTATATGCACAAAGATCTAAATACAGTGAAGGGAGGAGACAAGGCAATCAGTGAATTTTGGAAATCAAAAGGACTTATGCTGCTAACTCTCCTTGCAAATAAGAATAATGCAGCTGTTCTTGTCTCGACATCTGTTGGAGGAGAGCACACAGCTGCTGAAATTCACATGGAAAAAGTTTCTGGCCATGGTGATATCAAGACAATGATGCTTGGTGGCCTTCTTTTCCATCACAAAGATGACAAGAAGGGCCAGCAGGACACATTCTTGTGGTTCTTCAGGTAGAAACTGGGTTGTGACATGGCTTATCCTGGGATGAGCAGTACACGCTATCAATCTAACTGTGATGGAGCTGAATTCATCATTCTCCATCAATTGCTGTTGATCGAATTCATAGACACTGTCTGCTACAAAAAGGACAAAGCAGGACTTACCAATCTTGAGAAGAATTCCTTGGCTGCAATTCAGGATGAGCCAACAATTGTTGAACTGTTGCTACTTGCCAAGTATAACATGGTCTTCAGCCACTTGTACATGTGGTATGTGCATAGTCCTGGAGTATGTTAGGATCATGCCAATAGGATTGTGGCAGTAAGTGCATGTAGTGAAATGCCATGGGATGCGTCGGGCATAGGTGAAACTATTAGCAACGTCACCCCTGAGCTGAAGCCCTAAGATGAGTATGGATGGAAGTCCATGGAATGATAGGGAAGGGTTGGGAGATAAGTCCACTGGATCAGAGTTCTGTGGACTGGAGGACAAGAGTTGACTGAGAGTCAGAGAGAGAGATTGGGCTGAACCAAGTTGATATTCAAACTGCATATCTACAGTGTAATTCTAAGGCTTATATACTAGTTAGGAGTCTGATCTAGTTCCTACTCAGAGTGTTCTACATTCTAGGGTTGTCAGAGGATGTATTCTATCAGTTGGTGGCCAATGAAGTCTGATGACATATTCGCTACCGATGTCAGGCTATTGATAAATTAATATGGAGACATAAAATATAGAATAGAATATGAAATAGAAACTGGGAATCAGAATCCATAGGATTACAGGGTGTGGTTTGTTAGATTGAGTGGAAGTCAGGTTTCTGTCAGCATGCTCGTTACAGTATCCCCCTCTTAGCATTCTTGCCCTCAAGGACGCAGATCCTGATGGCTGAGTGTGACTGTGTGGAATTTTTTCAGGTTGGTCACATGGTTTTTTACCTCTTAGCTTCCTACCACCACCATCTCCATTTTCTGATTTTTGTCCTTGTCATTGGTCATGTCATTAATCATTGAGTACTGTGTTTCCATGATGCCCGAACTGTATGAGCCTGCTCTGACACCCGAAGATATTCGGCCTGAAGACCTGGAAGCCTTTTATGATGAGTGGGACACCATGGAAAAAGCTAGGGAGGATGCTGTGGAGGCCCATGAGGCCTGGAAGGTGCAGAAACAAAAGGAGGAAAAGAGGTGGGCTCTGGAGTTAGAACAGTGAGAGAAAAAATTGGCACAGGAGAGGAAGGTTGCAGAGGCCAAAGCAAGGAAGGAGAGAGAGGAGCAGGAGGCCATGGAGAGGAAACAGCAGGAGGAAGAGGTGAGGCAGTTGGAGGAAGAGAGGGAGGCCATGGAGAGGGAGAAGTTGGAGGATGAGACCAGGAACACTGCAGAGGTCGAGAAGGAGAAGGAGAGGGAGAAGAGTGGCAATGGGGAGGATGGTTCTGATGGGGATGACGAGCAGGAGAGGGGTCCCAAGGAAAAGGCCTTGAGGAAATTGGTGAAGCAGAGGAAGGATCAGAAGGGCAAGGGTAAGGTGACCAACTCGAAGGCCATGGGCATTTCAAGGAAGAGAAAGGTCAAATCTAGTGCAGTAGTGATGGTGAGTGGAGAGAAAGAAGTCGAAGGGCTGTCAGGGAGGCCACTGAAGAAGTTGAAGACTGAGCCTGAGATGCAGGCAGATGATGAAGAGTATAAGGATAATGGTAAGTTACTTCCATAGGGTTTCATGGCTTATGCTAACTTGTTCTATAGAGCATTGTGGGCATTGTAAAGCGGACAATATCAAGTGTTTTATTCACCATGGGTGCACTTGCAAGTGGTGTAAGCTGAAGAAGAGCAAGTGTGTATTTAGCCAGGGTGAAGGGTCAGGGTCCATGGGTTCCAGTGAGGTCACAGACCTCTTACAACAACTTTGTGACCAGATGGACACCTTCCAGGAAGGCTTGGAGAGGGTAGAAGAAAAAGTCGACATCCTCAGAAGCCAGGTTGATGACCTGGTGGATGACTTTCATGAGGGTGACACACCGGAATGGCCATCAGGTTTTATTGATGATGAGTTTAGGAAGGAATGGGAGGTGTCCAAGGCTAAGCTTGAGGACCTCAAGAACATAAACTCGGAAGCCCTAAGGATCACGATGTGGATGCAACTGGACAAGGATGTCACCTATATCTGGAATGCCCAAGTTATGGGCACCAAGTCCCTCAATCCCGAGGATCCCTTCGAGCTGGCGAACATGGAGGTCTGGTATGGGTGTCTTGGGAAGGATGGCCTTTGGTTGGCCATTGAGCGTCGAGACCATTTTTTGGATACAAGGGCGAAGTTTTATGCCCTCAGAGGCCATCAGGCTGAATGGGTGTTGTGGAAGAAATACCTCAAGGATGCAGAGGAGTTTTTAGTAGAGGATTCCGAGGGAGAAGTGGATGGTGAGGAGAAGAGAGAAGAGATGTGTTCTGGCATGAGTGCCATCAGAATTCCGGCATTGGATGAGCTGGAGTTATTGGTTATGAGTGATGAAGAGAAGGAGGATGATAGGGGGAAAGACAAGATGGATGAGGATGTGGTTATGGGGGAGTTGGTGCATGCAGAATCCTAGGCACCGTTTCTTGGACTTGTATTATAATTTTTTGGATGTTATCTTGTGGTATGATTTTGATAGCATGGGCAATAATTATCTATCTCTTGGTTTGTAGGCTTGAGTGAATAAGAGTGAGCAATAAGGGAAAGCAAGAACTAGGCATCCAATGGGTTTTATTCCCAATTAGAAAGGTAATTTGCAATAGTTTTCCAAGATTTGATTTGAAATTCGAGGGGTGGAACCTGTAGGGAGCCGATAAGTTATGGGTAGGTCAAGAAACAATGGATGAGGGTTTAAGGGAGACTTTGCAGATGGTGACTTTGGATAACAGTTCTGGTTTGTCTGGGTAACGTTGGTGGAAGTCTTCGATACATTTATCCATGGAGAATTCTGTAGCAGGGATCCAGGCAAACTCTTCATCGGTACCTTTGTAACCCAACCATTGGACTCAATATAGGAGTGGACAGCGGAACTGACGGTTGAGCTTTGAGGTGAGAATTTGAGCAATCTCGTACTGTTCTTCACCGTTGACTTCAACTGGAGGTGGAGGAGGTTGGGTACAGTTAGGGATAGTATTGGTCTCCACAGGTTTGAGTTGGAAGACATGGAATACAGGGTGAATGGAGCAGAGGTCCGACAGAAGTTTGAGAGTGAAGGAATGGGATCCAGGCTGAGTGATGATTTCGAATGGTCTTAGGGCTTTTTTGGCAAATTTCACAGTAGGGCAAGTAATTCTGATATGTTTGGAGCTGAGGTAGACTTTGTCACCAACTTTGAAATCAGGGGCTGGAGACCATCACTTGTCTGCTTGGAATTTGTAACAAGACTGAGCATAGGTGATCTCATCTCGAAGGAATTGGTGGAGCTCGTCAAGGTTAACAATGAAGTCACAGGCCTAGGTGGAAGCAATATCTCGTTTTGGATGCATGGTGATGTTGGGATGGTAGCCTTTGTTAGCAAAGAATAGAGAGATTCTGGTGGAGGCATTGGGAGCATTATTGTAGGCAAACTCTGCAATGGGTAGTAAGGTATCCCAATTGTCCTGTTTATAGGAGCAGTAGATGCGGATGTATTGCTCCAGAGTTTGGTTAGCATGTTTAGTTTGTCCATTGGCCTTCAGATGATATCTGGAAGTGAAGTGAAGCTCCATATCTAAAGCTTTAACAAGAGCATATATGAACTGGGAGACAAATTCAGAGCTGTGGTTGGAGGTTATGTGATTGGGAATGCCATGCTTAGCAAACACATGGGTAACGAATAACCAGGCAAGCTCCTCGGAGTTGATGGTGTCATGAGTAGGGATGAAAATTGCTTGTTTACTTGCACAGTCGACCACTACAAGGATGGCAGTGAATCCGTTGGAACCCAGTAATTGTTCAATGAAGTCTATAGAAATGGAATCCCATGAGCATTCTAGAACTGGCAAGGGTTTGAGTAAGCTGAATGGGCAGTGTCTAGGTGCTTTGTTACATCCGCAGGTGGTGCAAGATTTGACATAGTGGCGAACATATTCCTGCATCTGTGGCCAGGTGTAATTCCATCAGACAAGTTCAAGGGTCTGATTTTGACCAAAATGACCTGCCAGGATGTGGTCATGATTGTTTTGGAGGACATGGAGGTGGAGATCGTCAGAGTCTGAGACATAGTTGCAGTTGTCAAGGTGTAATAGTCCTGATTCATCCATGGACCACTGGGAGGGATTGGAAGAGGAGGATGTGAGTTGCAAACCTTCAGTTGTGGTGGAGTCCAACAGCTGTGCATTCTTGATATTAGTGTGAAGTTTGTCCATGTCCATGATAGCACTAGCATGTAAGACAGAGCCTTCAAGGAATGTTGCACAGAGTGAAGTGGAGAGTTGTTCTTGAGTGAAAACAGGTCGGAAATTATGAGGGTTGACTAGAGCATATTGACTATCCCCCTCTTTAGGGTAGACATCACATTGTCTAGTAAGGGCATCCAGTTTCCCACCAAGTTTACCCAGTCAGAACCAAATTACAAGGTTGACCTGGGATAGGAATTCAGACCAGCGCACTTGACATCAAGTAAGGACCTTGGTAGTAGAGAAGTATTCAAGGTTCTTGTGGTCTGTGATGACATCAATGGCTTCCCTGGAGCCTTTGAGATAATGGTGCCAATATTTGAAAGCTTTGAAAATGGCTAGGAGTTCTTTATCATGTGTATCGTAGTTGAGTTCTGTGCCATGGAGGCTCCATGACAAGAAGGATATTGGGTGGATCTCACCATCATCAAGGTAGATGGATAGGATGGCAGCGATGGCATAGTCAGAAGTGTCAGTTTCCACAACTAGTTGGTGGTCAGGAAGCCAGTGGGTAAGGATAGGTGTATGAGTAAAGGCTTTCTTCAACTTGTTGAAAGTGGATAGGCATTCATTGTCGAATTTCCACGGAGTACCCTTGTGAGTGAGTCGTGTTAAGGGCAGGACAATCTCACTGTACTCATGAATAAAACAGCAGTAGAAGTTGGCAAAACCAAGGAAGGATTGGATATCCTTGACTTTCCATAGAACCAGCCAGTCAGTGATAGCCTTGACCTTGTCTTCAGACATGCATAAGCCTTCAGGTGAGAGGATGTAACCAAGATATTTAATGGAGTCCCAATGGAATTCACATTTTGAGCCTTT